AGTGGTGACGATTGACGCCTCGAGATGGCAATAGATCATATTCTTGGGCAAATCGCTTCATTATCGCTCTTCTCCGTATCGCTTGCGGTCAACGCATTTTTTATCTACATCGTTTATTCAAAAACTAGACAGGAAACCGGTGCCTATAAATACGTGCTCATATTGTTCTCATTCTGCAACATGCTTTTTTCAGCCTTGGAATTGGTCTCAAAACCGGTAAGGATATATCTTTAATTCAAAAGACTAAGTGTCAAAAATAAGAATAAAAAACGCGAACAGAAAACACTCTAATCATTAGGTTCGCATGGATAATCCCGATATGAAAAGAGATGTTAGTGGACTACCTAAAGCGAATAATCCTACCTGGCAGGGTCATCATGCTTAAGCAGTAATTCAAGATAACCATTCAGAAACTAATCTAAGGGTAAGAGCATTCTCAATACGGTTCAACTTCTAAGGAACTCGAAGGAGAATTCATGGCATAACTCGGCAGCAACGAAAATTGTCAGCCAAGTAGATATTTTGCTTCTATACGTTTAAATTTTCGTAAGAATTATTCATTTANAAATTTTCGTAAGAATTATTCATTTAGATATCAACTAAAGTGGATGTAGGTTTTGAGGTTTTTCTCAGTTCAAGGACAATGCGCATTTCGAAATTCTTTTATTTTTCGAAACTTAAAAATTGATAAGAACAATAATACGCGTACATGACTCACATATGACTCACAATGTCACTTGCCAACTGGATTTTCGAAGACTAAGAAGGTAATGCTTAACTATGTATTTGCTGTCGTTCACTTTTTCATGAAAGGGTATTCCGTTGAATAAAAACGCGACGACGTGAGATATTTGCAAAACTAGGACCTCATGCCAGATTCGAACCATGCCATGGAGGATTATTAGGCAGCGAATGAAAAGTTAAGCATTGTAATTTCGAGTGCAGCTTCAGCTTAATTGGGTTTCGTGCAAATTTGCGATTCTGAGATCAATCGTACTGACGGGTGATAGATGACGAAACCATTAGAGCAAAAAGAAACAGGTTGAGAGTAAGCCAAGGCAAGGCAAGGACATCCGTGATGCGATGGATAAGATGTGAGTCCACGGAAAGGACCATGATTTCTTGAATCTGGAATGGTGTCCAAGAGTTTTGCAATCAAGAAGAAAAATTAGAGTCAATCTTCCTCTGATCGTTTAATATGTTGCTGTTCTAGTCGAAGATGATCCCTGTCCTAAGCGCAGATGTTTTTTTTTAATTTTGGGCTTACTTATATTTTTAGTCGCTGGTTTTTTGTTATCACGTGCTAGACTTTTCCTCACGCTATCTAATTAGAAAAGATTGTTATGTCTCGAAATAATCTTAACGTTATAATCTCTATACACAGAATATTTTACTCTCTCGTCGTAATGCTGCCGCTTTTTTTTGATCGGTTAGACCTGCGAAGTACAGAGAGAGACAATTTCGACAAATCTACCGTTGTGAATTCGTATTGGGTCACACGCAACGTAAACCGTTCGAATCAACAATGAGGTATATGGCCAAGCACGGTGAAACGTCGGTTTAGAAAATTTTGTACTGTAGAATAAGATATTGAAGTTGAGCAAGGTCGCGGACGATCTTCTACTACTGGTGATGATAAATCAAAGGGTTTGGTGGAGGCCAAGATTAGAATGGCTGTTCGTGACTTGCAGATGAAGTCTGTTAAGCATTCAACTGTGACGCTAAAGCTTTTCGAACCGAAATTGATCAGAAAAAATGTCGTTCTGACCGTTCAGTGATGCACCGCCGGTTTGCCCTACCACGGCTTTCTGAGCCTAAGTGATACGATTATGATGGAAACGTACACTTAGGAAATCGACGAAATGCTCAAAACAGCTCACCAAGTGCGCCCCTCATTGGTCAACAGAAAGCAGCCAATCTTTCGCGATTAGGCGCAGCAACACATCACAGCAGCAACGCTAAAAAGGTTGACGGAGTCAGATTACGAAATCTGCTCACGTGCCATGCTTGCTAGACATTTTTCTAACGACTGCCATTTCCTCATGTATCTCGACACCTTTCTGGGAGAGAATGTTACAGAAACTATGCCGAGGCCAAGACTGCCCTCAACGATCTCATCATTTGCAAAATTCCAGAGTTTTCTGCGAACGAGAAAAAACAAACGTGTTTCTTGTAAACGGAAATGGTAGTCTCTAATGCTATTTTAGTTGTATTGATAAATCCCATTTCTAGCTGAGATACGTCACTTTAAGAAAACACGTTGCAATCCTCAACTATTTTTCGACAACCTGGCACTTTTGCGATGTTTCAAAAAGCTAAGATGCCAACTGTACATGATTCATCGTCCTTCTCGAAGTAATATTCACTCTTATGGCTTAAGTAGTAACAATTGGAAAAACATCTAGGCAGTAGTGCGGTCGCATATCATTGGGTTCCGCTGATACAAATATTATTCATCATTAACTAGATAACATCGTACTCTACTGAAGCGTAAATCACATTTGCAACCGATAGGAATTACCGAAGACGCTATTGAAAGGAGGATCGGTATAATAATTATGATTAACTTTTCATCGCCTCTCTGGTCCTAATGAATGCCTCGTCTTGACTTTTGGTGGCAGTTATTTGATCATGTAGGCAGTAAACTTTGTCGAACCGTAGATAAGCTAGGTTTAGTAGACAAAATCTTCTATCGCTTTCGAAGACGTTTTCCTAAGAACGGCCTTCAATCCCCTTCCATTTAGTTCTTAATCACTTCATCACCTTTTTATTCCAATGGACAGATCTGCGCTTCAAAATGCAGTTTAAGAAGCGTAGAAAGGTGTTGGAGACTTATGCAACGAGTGCATAGTCGCCTCTCACAAGTTCATAACTCATTCAACTATTTGCCGAATTTCTTACTTTTTCGTTGTATTCGAATTTTCAGCAGTTTAAATTCCTAAAATGGTCACGACGATGAAAGCATCCGCGCTCGGTCGTCCATACATCAACACTTCCATCTTTGATATGAAACTACTGAAGACACCCTTTCTTCTGCGAAAAGTAACGCTGACATAAATGTCACTAAATGCTATTGTAGGCTTTCACACTCCTGGGTCAACAAACTCGCGGTAAATTTGTCCTGAAGGATAAAATACTGAGTTGATACATTGGCAGGTCACTGAATACTTAAACAGATCTGATGTGTGTTCCATTAGCTAGACAATGATATGAGTAGAGTCGAATGTATGGCGATATCCTGGAGGTCTGGTTGCACATACACTTCAGCTATAAAGGACAAAAGGATAAAGCTTTCAGCGCTGATCAATCCCTGAGAGATGCGCCATGCATTCGACTTCATTAAGTATCGCTGGAGGTGATGGAATGCAGATCTGACCTTTACAATGACTCGCGGTGACCTCCCGATGTACCGGGCCAGCGCTGTTATACTCCCACACCACTTCACCACCTCAGTAATAGAATGAAATAAATGAATGCTGTATAATATGCGTAAAAGCGTAAACTTCAGTTTTCTTTAAACAGAAAAATTGAAACCATACAAATACCAGTCTGTTGCGAAGTTCCAATAAATTAGCTATCGTTTTATTACAAAGAGTTGGTGTTCTAGACTACTTTTTTGCACGGATACACTTACATGGCGTACAGTGATGGTATTGTCGGCAGCCACAAAACATTGGGCTTACTATGTCTTTGCTTCTTTATTGGAATGTATGGCATGAATACGGCTATCCTTACGCTACAGTTCATCTACAGATACCTCATTGTATGCAGGTGAGCTTGATCAAAGAGCAATACGTTCACGAAGCAACAATTCAATCAATGACTTAACGAATGCACTGACAAAGAGGCTTTATTATGAAAGATATTCTTTTAGAATATTAGCCTTGTCATAAGTTGATCTAAGATATCTTTATTCGCCTTACGGTACGATGCCTTCGCGATCTTCAAAACCGCGTTTCACCGAGGCGATTGTCCACATCGGGTCGTTGTCGCATCAAGTCGAATCCAGTAGAGGGAACACCGTTCAAATACTCACCTTCACATAGGACCGTCCCTACATACAGACTGGATGTCGACCTATTTCCATGTGATGTTGGTGAATGTTTTGTCCCAAGTGCTTTCTGCAGCAGTCGGTATTTCATTAGCTGACATATAGCACATGACACACGGATCTGAAGAGGAGCAGGCGCCGAAACGTTAGCCCAATAAAAATCCCATAGAACAACTTCGCATCAGCTCAGCAAACCAGAAAAATGGTGATTATTAATCACAAGCTCTAATAAAGCTCAGTTTTTAAGGTAGTTATAGAAAACTTTGGAGAAGAACGAAATGAAAAGGCAAAAATAACTTTTTTGAAAGCTATTCTAAAATCGAGTTTCGTACAATGCGGTGAATTGCTCCCGGTGCTTAAGCGCCTACAAAACCTAAAAGGGCTGAAGACAGCTGATCAAAAGTGGCCCTCGTTGTTGAGTATCATTTGTGTGAGCGAAAAAAGAGTGATTCAGTCGATTACAACAATCAGAAGCACTTTCGGCCGTGGAATACGGGGTGTGACTCGCTATGATAAGTTCTTCCTCTGCGATTTCGGTAGTAGATTGTTGCAAGGATCTTAATTTAAACACATAACGCATCAAAGTCGACTAAGACGTTGTATAGAAGGCCATAAATTCTGGAATACGGTAGCACGCTCTGATATGTTACTGTAAAAGCAAATATGGTTGACAAAATTGCATGTCTACTTTCTGTTCCATCTTTGGGTGCTTAAAAGTAGGTTCAGTTGGTTCTTCCAGTAAAAAAATTCTCCTTGTTTTTTCCACTTTCCTTCTGCAGAGGTTTGATGATTGGAAGGAAAGGTAAGCAGACGTGATTTGAGGAACGGCTGTTGGAATGGGTAGAGAAAATGGCGTACTGTAGTCTTGTCTTCAGTATGTTTTCAGTATTGTGAAACGAAAAACCGAAGTCATTCGTTGCTCCCTGTCTTAGTCACATTTATCTTGCCAATGCTTATATTATCCAGGCAGGATCTGGCTTATCTTCTGAAGAAGAAGCGCTATAAAGTGATGTGGATGGCTGGCGTTCTACTGTGGTCGTTCACTTACATGTTCATCACCTTTTACTGTTTTGCTGTCACCGATGAGTATGTGAATTACGCAAGAACAGCGGTGCTGAAGAAATTCAATAGGAACATCGATGACTTGTCACTCTTTTGTGTATTTCCCTTGGTGAGTATTGTTGTTATCCGATTTTTTCTATCACCATCTTCATTTGATTTCAACACAAGCGCTTCTTTCAAGGAGAAGGTCAACAGGCAAACGATCATCTATTGGAAAGCAACCGTTGGCGTGGCTGTTATGATGTCGATGATGTTGCTATCACTCATCTTGATGTTATTCTACGGTGTGAAAATCATGCGGACGTTACGCAAAATGGCGATGAGTACGAAGACAAGAGCACTTCAGACACAACTCATGAAAGCGCTCGTATTCCAGGTTAGGCGAATATCTTCAAAGAATCATTCTTTTATACCATAAAGAACACGGAAGCTTGGACCAGACGAACTGAGTGAATCTGTACGTTCTTAAATAATTAAATATACTAAAACTATATGGGGCGTCACTGCCCAGCGTTCTTGGAAAAGCGAGCTTGCTCAAGGTTCGTTGCATTTTTTAGAACTTGATTACTAGTTTTATCAACCACTTTCTGTTAATCATCTACGAAGTGGTTTATTCAAATAAATAGGTGTCTCGCGAACGAATGACAGATTCCAACCGAAATTTTTGAGCACATGCGTCTCAACAAAAGCGGAGAGCAGAGTGATAGCAAGGAGGTCATCACAAGCACGGTGCTGGTTCCATCCCGCTCTGTGTCCATCAGGGCTATCATCCCTTGAGAGTCGGGAAATCCGTACCCGGCTTGTTCGGAAAAGATCGCTGTCTGCAATACAGGTAGGAAAGCTCTAAACCGGCTATCTCAGGACCCGAAGGGGAATCGAACTGACCACCAATCTACGACATTAAAATTAAAATGACAGTTCTCAAGAAGCAGCCGAAGCCACACGCAGAAGTTGGAAGGCCTTAGTGAACGATATATGCGAGGAAACGAATTGAACGTGAGGAGTGCTGAAATCCGCACAGTGGATACCAAAGAAAGCTCGTATAAAATAACAAAAGCACCACATCTCGCCTAAGAATATGCTTCATTAACACAGATAAAATGCATTTAAGTCCACATCCTTTTGCGAACTAGAAACAGGTTTTACAAAATTCCAATTTTCTAAGTCCGATGAAACCCGTGAAGGCTATTTTTGCCTCGGGTTGGTTTCTGGGAAATTTCCTGCATAGAAGGTTATTGAGATGCTTGAAGAAGTGATGACCGCTACACGAAAGGCCTAACGAGCATGGTGGATGAGGCAAAACTTTGTGGCTGAGTTTCTCTCACCTCTGCAGTTGATTACCGGACTGTGGCCGCGCAATGTTGTGGAGAAGGATTGAAGGATTGACCGATTTCCGTTGACAGATACGGGAGCAGCTGTTGAAGCTTCTGGCGCATTTCGTCGACTTGTTTGGCATAGTTTCTCAAAGTTTTTTTTTCATAAGTCAACAAGCATGCTCATATCCAGGAGAGGAGTGGCTACGAAGAAATTCTTCAGGCCAACCTTGTACCCGTTAGCATTTCTCTGCCTCCATGCCTCATCAATGCTCTTAACCTTTTACGCTGGACCGCGACCTACTTTAAATTCGTAGAAAAAGATGAAAGTGCTGTTCCTTAATAATAAAAATGACAAAGATGGATGATGAAGAATATTTGAAACTCTAGTCTTTAAAGTTGGTCAAAAATATCATTTATATCACAGTTTAACTCGACGGAGTGACTTAACGTGAGTCTGAATGGTATATGATAGTAGATCAATCGGAGCGGAAGCGATTGCCAATACATAAAAGATAAAAAGGATAAAGCTTATAGCGGTGATTAATCCCTGAGAGATGTATCATGCACTTCACGTCATTAAACATTGTTAGAGGTGATTGAACGCATATCTGTGCGACACATTAACTGGCGGTAGCATAGCGGTGCACCGAGCCAGTGCTACTAGCCTTCCACATAGGTGTGGTAGAAATTTGTCGACCGCGAAGGAATGCAAGGCTTGCTGAGCCTGGGGCACGGGATCGAACACAATCGAACTGGGCACCCCTGCCAAGAAATTATCAAAAAAAATGACATGAACTGGCACTGTAATTTCAGAACAACCATTTCATTTAGTCACTTTACTTTATACACCATTGCTTTCAACAAAGCGCAGATAGATTTTCATGTGATCGCACCACTGGATTTTTCGATTATTAGTCGCCAATTGCTGGTCCAAAAACGCAAAATAATTTCTACCCCAAGATTTTTAACTTTTAAGAAGAAAGCGGCTTTGAAAAAGGCGATACTGCCGAAACGTCAGCTAGTGTTGTATTGTATTACGTTTTTCTATGGAAGTAAATGTATGCTGTTTAAAAACCTCGCGATTGCTGAACAAGAAATCAACACATTCTAAGAAGAAGTTAGAATGCGACGGCGCTGACAAACCTGACGAGATTTTTGTTTCACTAGAGAAAGAACCTACAGAGAGTCGTCATCTGCTTACCCATCTGGTTACTGCTTGTCATCCACAAGTTCTCCTTTAGAGAAATTTTCGACGAAGTTGACAGCACATTGAAGAAAGGAATGCAAAAAACAGGAAAAATTAATCATTACACTATTTAGCAACCATTCGAAAAAGAAACCCGTTGGAGCATGGCGAGAGCACGCGAGAGCAAAGAGGTCGCTCTGCGTCACCTTTGCCAACTTTTAAATTGTCTTGAACACAACTTGGACGCAGAAGTGGTGGTGGGAGTTGTGGGCAGCTGAAGATCCGCTGCTCAAAATTTGAGCGTCTTAAAATATACGAAAATTTGCAGCCAGAACATCTGCAAAAAATTCAGTGGGATAAGACAGGCGTAAGAACGACCGAACCGGTTGCGGTGTAGGTTATCTTCACATTGCTGAATATTTCATTTACAAAGCTTTTGAAAGGTTGGACATCGCCCAAACGTCAAAAACTGTTGTGCAGCAAGGCGACTTCATTTGTGAAGTTTACCTACTTGGATGGATATCTCCGCTTGCTTCAAATGTGTGTACCTGGGTTAAGATATTTCACTCGCTTTAATCAGCCACTCCCCTTCAATTCATGTGGAATGCCTTATCACTGCTGTTTCCAAATTGCGATAGGAACATACTCTACCAGCATTCTAATCCATTCATAGGGAAGACGAAATCTTCAAGTAGTAGCCGGGACAACACACGGAATGTTCGAAGACCCTTGTGGACGATGAATGAGAAGAAACGAGTTGATGCAATGGCAGGTCTTGTAATAATAATGACAATGGCGACAACTGAATAAAAATAGGAATAATCTGGCTTAGACAGCAACTAGTGAACTGAGCAAGGAATGCTTAGTACACTGCTATTGTACATGAACGGAGCGAATCAAGAAGGTTCTGGCGATTAATTGACAGTGTGGGATTAGTGGGAATGTAAACGAAATAGATGATTTGCTCGCTAGTTGTTTTACTTTATTCTAGTAAAATTTGTTAAAATAATTAACTTGACTTAAAAACTCAAAAGAGACAAATGGACTTAAATTACGTTCTACTTCAGGCGACCACTCCTTTTCTTCTGACGTACATGCCAAGATTTGGGTTATATGGAGTTGTTATTTTCGGTTACAGCGGCAGGGCGTGAGTTTCTGTTGGAATTTAGCTAGCCTTTTCTCAATTGGTAAGAAATTACGTTCGATATGAGTGAATGAAAATACGTGCAACTGCTATTATACCCACCAGAACTGCTACCAAGCCACGTAAACAGCTTGCTATCCCGTCGATCGTAATGGAACTCGAGCGTTGACCAACTAATTCTAAAGGAATCCCTCTTACGAACAAGTACAATTTCCGCTTTCCCCAAAGGCCTTCTAAGTGACAGGTCGGTGTTGTCTCAGTGTGAACTTAAAATACGTGAAATTTAATCACTAACCGCTTTTTTGCATTTACTGCCCTCTTACGCGTCAGTCCCTTGGTTCTGGACATTACGGGTTGTATAGGCAATAGCTGCTAATGTCGTATAAATCTCCTCTCTTATACAACAACATGGTTTTNGGTTCTGGACATTACGGGTTGTATAGGCAATAGCTGCTAATGTCGTATAAATCTCCTCTCTTATACAACAACATGGTTTTGCCGGTCTTAAGTCAATGCGAAAATCTTTCATTTTATAAGCAAGACATTGTCCAGTGTAACTCTCACGTCCGACTTTCTCTTAACCTCGGCATTGACTGAACAATTCTTTCCACTTCTGCTCAGCAAACACGAGGTGCTATTCCACTTCCCCACTCACGTAAAAGCTGACGTTTCGGCGGATTTCGCCTTCCTCATAGCCGCTTTCTATGAGTCTTCCACTGGGTTGGTCTCCACACGACATACTCAGTGGAAGACTCATAGAAAGCGGCTCTGAGGAAGGCGAAATCCACCGAAACGTCAGCTTTTACGTGAGTGGGAAAGTGAAATAGCCCCTCGTGTTTGCTGAGCAGAAGTGGAAAGAATTGTTCAGTGTGTTGATAAAGAGAGGCAGAAGACTCTTCATTTGCTTAGAATAAATGACTGGTCTGAGTCTGAATGAGTCTTGGCTGGTGCTGCTCGGTCTTTAGTCGGTGAGTTAACATCACTCCTTTCAGAAGGAAAAAGCGGTCGGACGGTATATCCATCCTACCTAGCTTTTTAAGAAAACAGTAGGATGTGACTGTTGAAGAGATCAGTGTTGTAATCGCATGTGATTTCCTCATGGGCTTCTCGCAACTCGTTGGATTAGAGTGCCTGGAAACTGGTATTTTCCTAAAAGCCGATTAGTAAAGAAATCATTCCTTGAAGTGCGCGACCTTTTCTCATTTTTCTGCAGAAAGAACATTTTGCTGATGAAGCGATGTCCTGATCCGGAACAAGGTTGTGAGAGAGCAGCAGTATCGGTGCATGATATTTGTCGCCACGATGAACTCAGACACCCACTCAACCTGTTCGACCTATTTTTATACGCTGTTTCTAATGCGGCAATTTTCAAATATTCTCCTGGTTTTAACCTTAATGTTGAGTCGCTAGCAATGACTTTAAAGAGAGTGTGGTCTTCTCTGTAGTGCTTCTCCTGCTCTGTAAAAAAGTATTCGATCTCGCCATCGCTATAGCTTGGTGGTGTGCTGATAACTGGGATTATCAGAGTAGGCATTATTCTAATTGTTGCTTGAAGGAATGGATATTCAGGGCAGCAACTCGGTTATGTAAGAAGAGATTGCGTACAGGTGGACAATGATCTTAACCACAGATCGTCATCTCGGCTTTTTCACATTTTGGAAAACGATGTACTACAACGAAATTTCCTTCACGGCTTTGAAAGGAATAAGGCTAATTTATTTCACTGTGTTTAGCACCTGATACCTAAATTAAGGGAAACCACACTCTTCCAG